AATGTAAATCACCAGCGTTGATGATCTATGTCGAATGATTGGAGGCCTACTCGAGTTAGACGGGAATGATGTAAAGAACCAGCTAACGTTGAAGTCACACCTTACAGTCAGCACCTTACGTGGATTGCCCCGTTGACGTATTAATGTACTACAGATGCTTTGAAGACTGTACGACGCAAAATACATTATTATAGAAATATATTAGTTAAAGTAGGTACAAGCAAAAGTAAGACCACCACCGCGTGGACCATTCCACTGTGTACAATTAACTGATGCGCTTTGTTCGCTATTGACCTTAATAGGGATCGATGATCGGTTCGATGTTCAGTCACCCAACTGCCGCATGATTTGGCTAGGGCTTAGTGACATTTCACTGGCCCTACAGTAGGTGGCAGTGCTTGAATCTATGTAGTTCGGCAATTCATATCAGTTGTAAAACCCTTAGTATCTACAGTATCACCTGGGCAGTTGATAGAATTAAGTTGAAACTGATACTACTATGGACTTATGGTCATAATTCTGTCACAAAAAGGTAGAAATAACTTTAAAAGCCGTTCTTTATCCAAACTAATATCCTCTGCGAGAACTACAATACCATCCTGATACGATCCAGCACCACCATGATCGGTGATAATCTGATTCGTAACCTTCGGGAATATCTCGGAGAAAATACTTAATCTGGATGGTAGGGAATTGTATCTGAACAGTCCGAACGGTGTATTAATAGCATTTAGTTTATTAGAGGTTGCATCCAATGGAATCTGCAAATAAGCATCTTTCAGGTCCATTTTAAAAAATTACATTGACCCTTGTAATTTATATAGAATATTCTCAGTTTCTTCAGTGGTACGACTGTTGCGACGGCGGAGCATTAATTGTCAAACGGCAATTACCAGAAACTCCAGGCGTTTCTCGATTGGCCTTCAGTGGAGTCACAATGGGATTGACCCAAAACGGACGGCTCAGCTGAAGTTTTCAAACCAATTTACCTAGCTTATCCTTCACATCTTCTCTTAAACCATGTTGAATTAGTCTACTTTTCGGGAAGATGGGCTCTCCCTTTATTTCTAAGTGTACAAGGTGAATTTTCATAACTTCCACGGCCTTCGAGCATTTAAGACGAGATCTAAGACGAGACAGAAACCTTAGACATTTCACCCAATCACACATAAGCAATACTAACTAACTAGGAAAGAAATACTGACAAAACTACTCACTTTCTTCAGTGAAGTATTAACTGTACCAACAGTAGATAACTGGGGGTCAATGATGAGAGTTATTGCACCACTTGCAGGTTTTAAAAAGATACAATTATTGAAAAAGCAATAACTCTTTCAGAGAAATAATTGACTCCATGAATGGAACATGCCTGGGATTCCAACTAATTTTTGCATTAAATGTGAAGTATCGATGCAGGCAGTAGTGAGAGACAACGAATCCAACTTTTTGTTCAAATCAACTGGTCTTGAACAACTATCGTTTTAGTAGTAAACAACTTGGAGCCAACCATTTTACACTTACGGCAACGTGCATAACAAAATTGACCTGACATATGAAGACGGGGCTTACTATATGAAATACAGGATAGACTACACGAAAAAAATTAAAAGTGCTTTTTGAATTATTTACTTGTCTGAATGAATCGTAACTGTTCTTGTTAGAAGTCTGAGGTTTTTGCAGTACGGTACATTTATTCAAATTCGACAATAAAACTTCATGTTGTTTCATAATGACATTAAGTGGATTATAATTGACATCTTCGTAAGTAAAACAGAAGTCTTTGGTTATCTGAAAAGTGAAGGAGGGAATTGGTCAGTATTAACCAATCAAGATCGAGGTCTACAGGACAAACTATGAGTCATATATGAAGAAATTCGAACACTCGCTCCTACCTGAAGTTTGTGCTGATGATGTCGTTCAGAAGAACGATGAAAGCTCCACGACTAAAACCGTCCAGCTCAGAGAACAAAACTTCACCAAAACCAATTACCTGAGCTACAAATCTTCACCACCATCTCAAAGGGATTAGTATAAACTGCTTCTTTGGTTTAGAATTGTTCACAACAGCAATCAGGTAGTCGCGAAGTTGGATACACAGCTGTTCACTGAATTTGCGCTTAGAAGCTGGTGTCTGAAAGTGTGCCATGAAAAGTGTAATAGTCTGATTGGAAACACGAACTAATTTGTTGAACTATGCTTTTTTACACTTCTCGGGGTGAGGCGTTGATGGGCGATTTCTCCAAGTTACTTGGATCTATTTGTGTTGCGACATCAGATGTGAATTTGAAATAATATGACGAAATAGTATTAATCCCCATAAGTATAGCACTTTGACAAGACATAATCAAGAAGTGAAATTCTAAGTACGTAGTATGAAATTGTGCTGCATTATTATGGTATGTTTAAACGTAATATAAAATATTTAACAGTACAGTAATTGTGTTGGTTATTCACCGCACTTTTTATTCATTATTTGAGAAACTATCATAAGTTTTGACAGATCTTTCAGTATTTTATTACTGAGATTAGTTGTTAGGTTTTTATGTATTTTCGTTAGAGCAAGTCTTCGCCATATTCGGGAAATAAAACCCACTTAATACTAGAGTTTAGAGATCGAAAGAACGTACTGAATACCGTACTGACTTTTGTTCTTCATACTATCAAGCGTCAGTAATCTAATTTCATCTATGTTACTCTTGGGGAATTTAGCTTATATTGTTCTGTTCTACTGTGGTCATTTTGAACTCGATATTTATTTCATGAATTACTTTCTACTTTATAATATTCATGCATTTATAATATTTTTGCAAACATTCTGACTAATTTGTATTTTTGATGCTTTTCGATTATGAACAACTTGTAAAAATATTTCTAATTCTTTTGGCAAAAACGAATTCTCAGGTTTATTGAAGGCCTGGCTATTCGTAAACTTGAACCCCCCTTTTGTGTACAAAAACAATTTGTCGTAACCTTGAATTTACCCTGGTAATCCTCAAGTCATTTTATGCAGCAAATTCTTATCCTTTCTATACGATTTAAAAATTGTTCTCTTCCCTCTGTTACCATTTTTACTCGAGATTTCATTTAATTGACCTTTATTAATTTTTATATAAAATGCTGTAACAAGTATATGTGTGACTAGATTGTTCGAAATGTATTGCGCAAATATATCACATTTTTTTAGATCAACTCCATCTTCTGATTGCTTTATCGAAATTTATAATTCTCTTGTATTTGAAACATTCCTGAAATTAAAGCAGATTAACAACGAATAAGGAAACGTCATCCATTTCTTTGAAGATAGGTGTTGTTCTTTGTAGTTTCTTTTTTCTACCAACTTATTCTGACATCGAAAAAGGAATTTCAAAAGCAACAGCTGATCATTCCACTTACGTATGGTACTTTTTTAGTGGTGATAGAATCACAGGAAATGTGTGCACATCACTCACTGGAATGGAGTTTTCAAAAATGTGAAAACTAAACAGTGCATTAGTCTTGTTATCGAGATTTTAAAATGTATTTACAAAACTGGATGATTCGGTAAAAAAAATTCTCCTGTTTATTTGAAATATTTTAAGTGATTTTCTGTAATGATCGATTCTCTTGTTCAATAAAAAGATAGTGTAATCACAAAATATAATACAGTAGAACCTCATCGTGAAATTCATCCACTTCTGTTTACTAAAAAACCGCCATTCACAATATTTCCTGATTTCATCATCTAAAACCATCAGTCCACCTGGATACTACGTACTATCATTTCATAGTAAAAAAAAGCATTATAAAATTTCTTATTCAAACTCGACAGTGCATGATAGTGTCAATGAAAATTAAATCCAAATAATTAGATTTTTGGCCAAGTATCATAATTGTTTTGTTTTTATCAATTAGTGTCGTCTCATTCAAGATGCATGTTCATGAGTCATTAACGAATTACATTTAAAAAATAATAGGAATAAAGATGATTAAACTGAAATTTATTATATTGTATTTTATAGACGATATTTTGTTTTCTTATAAATCAACACATTTCATGTTTTCCCATTTACGTAAGATGAAATTTACTTCTATTGATTTCAGGTAAAAATGTGAACCGCGTCAAACAACACCATACGTAAATATGTATAATCAAAAGAGAAATATGAAACATGATATCTAACAATAATGCCAAATGTATTTTTCGTGAAAGTATGAAAAAACTTGCCATGTTCATGGTGATACTGCTGCAGCTGACAATAATGATGAAGACGATTTGGAGCTCAAAAAAGTTACAGAAATGAAAAACAAATATTACATTATGTTTTTAAAAAAGAATTGTGTTTGCTTCATTAGTCTAATCGTTACATAACATCATTTAGTTACGGAAATAAACAGAACAAGTCCGATAGTTTCAGAGTTTTTCAAAGTGTAGTTTTTACGTTTAATGTTCAAAAGTTAGTTTCTCATAGATTTTTTTCTTCCTTATAGTTCTCATCCAATAGCAAATGAGAGTAATCATCACCATCTTCAAGTATAAGCTCAAGAAAAGTAAAGTGCATTTGAAACAGCAAGATCAATTCAGTTAAGAAACTAGTTTACGGTGTTTTAGCAAAATAAGGGAGTGAAATATTTTTATTTATTTTTCAAATATTAATTATTGTAACCGAAAAAATTCTTAGTAGAAAATTAGTAATTTGTTTAAGGAAAATTTTAAACGAACGATAATCAAGTGATTGCAGTTGAATGTAGGAAGAATTATGTACTATAATCTATCAGATAGGGAATCAATTAAATCGAAACTAGTAGAATTGTTATACGATTTGAAACGATTTTCATCTGACTCTCCACTATCATTTATATCCATTTAGATTACAATTAAAAATATGAAGAATGCTTATTTCCTCAAAAACTTACAGAACTATAAAGGAGATTTAGGAAGAACAAATATTACAGAAAAGAAGAAGGCAACGTAAATAAACATTTACATTTGTTTCATATAATAATAAAAGGGAACTATTAAACTATAGTATTGTACATCTTCGACAACATTCTTGACGAATGAAGGAATGCTGAGAATTGTCAGTTATTCTATCTTGATCAATATATTGCGGTAATGACAGTTCGCTAGAGAAAGTGTTCTTGTATGGATAATTCGTACTATTAATATGAACTTCTCTGTCTGTCAGATATTTCAAACTATTTGACTGAATGATTGAGTTAGAATCATTAGAAGAGCACATTGATTCAATATGACCACGTTTTTCCATGGTTGTTGTTTGACCATTAGTATATTTACTCTTTAAATCAGTGTCAGGAGTAGATAAAATTGTAATCTCCCGTTGATTGGGGAAATCATTTCGAACTTTCAATTCCTTTATCTGAGAATTACGCTAAATTTGAATTAGAGATGCAAAATATTGATTAAAAGTGATAATCTTGTGACAGTTTTGCATATGTCCACACACACACACAATCAGTCTGATCAATTAATTAATTAACAATTAAAACACTTTATCAGAATAAATACTTCGACACTTAATGAGTGCTTGAAGTTCACTTGCAATCCTGTTTCTAAAGTTTCCAGCTGGGTTTTGAAAAAGCGTGATAATAAAAAGCACTTGTTTCCCCATTGAACATATCATATGTGATTAAATAAAAGTTAGCAGCTGATTATATACACTTCAAATTCAATTCAGTTTTAGTTACCCGGATAAAACAGTGCGCTCACGTACACAGTTTTGAACATACCGAAATAGGGAATATAAGTCATGTCACTTATTTATGCCCATCGTCATCATCATCTAGTTTTGGGGTTTCAATGGTATAGCGAATACTTCATGTCATAACTTTAGGGAATCTTCCTACTTGCTTATATCTTCTCATATTTTCCTTTATTTGCAAGATAACTGTCACGTAAAATCTGCCTAATCTCACAGAAGTCTGTGTAACGTTTCAACTCATCATAAAGATATCGAAAAACGCGTCGGCACTATTGTAACACTTGCCAAATCGAAACATAATATATGTTAAATTTCTGCTGTATAAACCAGGTTAATTAACGATAAATGATATTAGACTAATGAATTCTAAATCGTATTGCTTCTCAAATACATTGGTTGGACTGTGTGTGAATATAAATTTAAATAAAGCCAGAACAAATCTTGATGCAGAATAATATGTGTGAATATACTGAAACTCGAGCTGCGACTATGTAATTTGACAAAAAATACAATATATTTTGTCATGTGTATTGTTCTATGAGCTAAAATTCAAATTGGATATAGTTACATTAAAGAAGTGCATAGTATCTGCATAGATTTCAAGCAAAATATAGGAAAAAATGGTTTCATTCTAGTATGGGACTCCTCGGAAGTGCTGAGGAAATTATTTAAAAAATCACAAAACCCCTTCTGATAATAATCATCCGCTCACTAGTGACTGAATTCAAGAGGCATTTCCCGGAGTTCTAGTGAGAAACCGTGACCAGTGGAGTTCAACCAGGTCTGTTGTGAGATATCAGCTCACTGAAGACAGTGGTGTACGGTGGAGCAATTTCGTGGATTGGTTGGAGTCGGACATTAACATCGTTGGATGCTGGCTCAGTGGTCTAATGGTTAAGTGATCGTGTACGAGACTGATAGGTCCTGGGTCCAAATCTCGTGGGGGGTGGGATAGTGGATGGGCACTGCTGAGGAGTCCCACACTAGGACGAAACGGCCGTCCAGTGCTTCCAGGTTTTTCATGGTGGTCTAGCTTCAATTGACTCATGATTTCAACTATTGAAATTATTAAAAAATCTCCACAAAACCCCTTCTGGTAGTTTACCATTTGTCAATTTTTAGCTCAAAATGTGTCTTTGAATTTGGGACACTAATTATTAGTCGTACTAGGAAGTATATAAAAAAATAATCAGCATCTTTTATTTTGATTTTTCAAGCAAATAATTTCAAACTTAAACTTAAAATACTAACTGACTAAAAGTTCTATATCTATTACTAAGCGTACAATGTGTACTACTAATTTTAATGTCTTGGGATTTTAAAGCCAGTTTTTCACATTTTAGATTTCTACTTAAAATACAAGTACCAAAGTGATGATGAAAACAAATTTTTTAAACCAGTTAATGGAATATAGACCGTAGAAACCGACAAGCGACTTTTTCTCAGATTCATTCATGACTAGAATTCTAGTCTATAGTTTTCATTATCTTGCATTTAATGTACTAGGGATACTTTAATTTTTAGTATTTTCTTATAAACTGAGTAAATAGTTATGAATGTCCATTGACAAACTTACCATAGTATTATCAACAGAATGTGTGTATTCTTCTGATGTGCATTCACAATCATCTGAATTCAATGGAACAGAAAAACGTGAATCACGTTTTCTGTCATCAATTTGATTAGATGTTAGTGACTTTTGTTTTCTTGGTTTCGGTGAACCAGTTAGATTACTGTTTTTGAAAACGGCAGAAGTGTGCAAAATATTTCTATCGCCCGAAATAATGTCGAAATTTTCATGTCGGGTTCGGTCATCTTTTTCGTAACCAGATGGTACATCAGTTAAACATATTGAAGATGAGTGAGCAAACTGAGCTTCTTCTTTCGCTTCACGTCTTGATAAATTTGACTTATCTCTGAGTGAGCTCCGATGAATTAAAGATCCACTAAGAAGAAACACAAGAACTTCAATTTAGTAGAGAATCTGATGAATTACAAAGAAATGAAGTTGAAGAAAAAAGTTAGTGAATACTTCATTTGAGTAGCTCAGTTAATTAACTTATTACGATTCTGAATTCCAAAATGTACCATCAATATATTGATAAATCTTTTCATTTCGAAGCTTTTATGTGGCAATCTACTTAAAGAAATTGCAATCTGAATATTATTGACTGATTATGCAACATGATATATTTTAACTAAAATGGATCAAAAATGAGCATTCCATAATATACATCATTTTTAACCAAGAGAAAAACCAAAGAGACCAACAGCTATGGGACCTACTTTAAACCTACTGCAAAAGAATACCATCTTTGAACTGTCACAAATGACAGTGTCTGTTTAGGGATGTTTACTGCCATGATTTTCACACACCCATTATGTTATGAACAAATACGGATACGATCATCTTTTGATATGCAAAGGCTGATCTCCTTTGTTTTTTGACTAACTTAAGATATGGAGATCTAATGTTTTTCTTAGTTATGATTTGAATACCTTTAATGATTATTTACACTTTGTACTGTTTAAAAGTACAATAGTGTCCCAGAATTGGTTTATCAGCCAAACTTAAAGAAAATGATGTAGAGTGATTAAGGTCATTGGTCAATTTAATTATTCATAGTTATATAAGCCTGGATTAACCAGGGTCAGCAAAACCTTTAGAAGACTGAAAATAATTTGCGATTCATCAACCTGCATCATTTATGACAAAGAAAAATATTAAGACGTCTACCAAAGTCAATATATATCACCAAGCAGTTAGTTCCAGAGAAGTTTATGGTTATTCATGTATACGGAGTGATTCAATGAACTACGGGTTTCATACGCGTAACTTCTGGCTAGTGAAGTGTTGAGCCTCCAGCTGGTTATGTATGCGAACTCACCTTTGCAGTTGAGATTTATAGATATTGCTTTTTAAGTTACTGGAGTCACACTCGTCTTATTTTTTTTAGATTCCTTACATTTGTCAATATTTTATTCAGTCAATTAAATTTATTTACACCTTTGCTATACTATATTGATGTGTCTTCTAAGTAACTTCAAACTGAATTCTTTCATGATAGCAATTTAAACCTATTTTATAATTGTGATCACTAGATAAGACAGGTTGTAAACAACTGACGAGAACTAAACGAAATAAAATAAATTCATGCTATTCTGCTCAAATTTTTGTCCTTGATCTCTTCGAACTGATAAAGAAAACTACGTGTTTGAAGTTTAATGAAGATCTAATTGGCCTGTAGTTACTTCGACGGAAAACTTAAGTTGTATTGTGGTTAATTTATGTGACGCGAGTAATAAGAAAGTCTGACTGAAGTCTTAAAAACTATTTCAGCTTAAAGTTTTGGTTTCCTTCAAGTGTTAGGGTACAATCAGCCTATCGATGAAACTGTAAGACTATCAATATGGTTAATTAAAAGACTTCAGTAAAAAAGTAAATACCTTCTTCTGCGTCGAAAAGGTTTGACAGAAGCATTTGAATCCATTAATTTGGCACATGATCTAAGTTTTTCTCTCATATTCCAAATTGTGCAGACTTCATCATGAGTTTCGTCATTATCGCATATTGCTAGAATAATAATAAACAAAAATCGGATTGATCCGATATCATGACTAAGAAGTCCTTTGTTCCAATAACGATTATTAATGAGTATAATCTGTTAAGTTTTATGAAGAGTAATTAGATGATATTATAATAACAGCCATATGCTTCCAAAGATATGACTCTCTTCTTTAATAACGTGTTTATAAATTTTTGATTTAAAATCATGGCGTTTATGTGGCATGAACAGAGGTTGGAAAAACTAACGCCATCTAAATTAATTGATATTTCTAATTTACACAGTTAAATTTCCAAAGTTTACAAAAGGTAGTTTATCCATAAAAAGAAATCACTTGTGAAGTCTATTTCGTTGTAATAAGGGATTGTAAGGTATCAGTTACTGTACTGCTAATAAAACCGTAATGCATTTCACTGCGGAAATCGAACAAAGAGCAGTTTATCAAGCACTCCGTGAAAATAGTAGTAACAATTTAAATCAGCTACATTGTTACCAATATTTTCTGTGATTCCACAACACTAATTTCATAATAAAATGTAAATATGCCAACCCGTTCAACATTCTATATCTCTCCAGTAGAAACAATGAAGAAAACTTTTTAAAATATAAGCACTTGGGTCTGCACTACTAATATAACAATAGGATTCTTTCACTAAATGGTAATAGTGAATGAATTGAATCGATGGTCTTGTCAGCATGTAAATTATCTCTGAAAAAATTAATGGGAAACAGATATCCAAATTTGTCAAATAAGAAATACATCATCATGATGAGCCGAAAATCTTCATGTTAGTGAACGAACTTTTTCAGCAGAATGGCTTTACAAAAGAAAATTTACAAAATAGATTGATTATATATGAAGGAGTGTACAATCAAAGCATGACCAGAGTTAGGGTCATTCATTCCTTGTACAGCACAGTTTGATTTTCTGATACAGTTAAAAACGGGTTAGCAGAAATATTTTTTAGAGTCTTTATTATCTTATTGAATTTACTGAAATGTCAAGAGCTAGTTGAATGTGTAAATAATTACAAGTGTCACCTTCATGACTTTCAAAGTGATTAGTATAAAATACCGTCTTAGTTCATTTTATTTAGTTAACTTCAGTCAAACTAATCTAAGTTAGGATTTGATCTAAAGACAGTCTATAACTTTGCAGAGTTCTAGTTATTATATTAAGAATTATGCCGTGCTACTGCAATTTTCTCAACTCGTTAGGTTAAACAGAATGTATTCATTTCCCATTAAAATTTTCTTACATAACATTCACTATTTATTTTTCCATTCTTAGTTTTATTGTGTACTTTTGTGAGACTTTTCTTTAAACAGATAATTTCCTTTTCCTTTAATTATAACCCTTAAATAATCACTACATGGGTTTTTCTCACAATCCTTTGAATTTTCACTAGATCTTTGCATATCATAAACATTTTTAATAAAAAAGTATGTGGATCTCGAAGTTTTGATGAAGAGAAAATGTTGGTAGGTACATATCGTATGAAATGCATTAACTTTGTACTGTTAAATACATATGGTATTTATGTAGTTTGCGTCAATAAACACGCGAACTGAGCTGAAATATTGTAGGGCACAGAAAAGTAATTCCATTCCGTATTTGCGACAGCGTTCTTATCCGACCTCACTCTTCACAAACAAAATATTAATGGAAATCCTTAGAAATTAAATTTCACAAACTTCCTCATAGTTTCAAGCTTTATCTGCTTCACAGTCACCATTTACTGCATCCTTACACACAACCGTCATTTTGGGGAATCACTGTGGTCAGTAAAGTGGGTCATGTAATGTTATTCTCAATAAACTAGAAGATAACTACCATTGAATCTTCATGTCTAACTCAGTTAAGATTAGGACTTCGCAAATAGTAGATTAAAAGGATATGAGGGGCTGTAGCCCTTAGAAAATGACTTGAAAACAGGTCTATAAATAAAATGGTTTCATTTCTACTAAAATAAAATGTTACTATCAGTGTAATGCTAACATATTGCAACCGGAGCCCCAATAGTTATTTCCGAAAAACAGTAAAAGCTATATAAAGCAATTAAGTAAGACCATCACCGGTTAACTCGAATAATTCCCAACAATTACTTGACATGTATCACTCACAATTTATCTGCAAAAACTTTTTCCACAGTTTCAATGAATTAATGATATGGTAAGCCTTAAAATTTCGCCATCATTCCAGCTATCACAAATGATTCTCGAAAATCAGTTTCTAGTTTTCCTGATTAATTACTGATTGGTGTTTATGTAAATAAGATTAGGTTCAGAGTCTTTATTTTATTCTCAAGATATAAAATCCATCCGCTTAGTTAGTATATTAGAAAAATCAGTCTTTAATAAGTAGAAACAATTAGTAAACTTACTGAATGCTGTCCTACCATCTGGCGTTGGTATAGTAAGATCACCTCCATGGGACACAAGTAACCTGATCATTTCCAGCTACAAATATAAGTAAACTGAACTAAGTATGTCTGACAAAAAATAAAACAAAACAATTCCTAAATATGTTCCCTATGCGAACTTGACACAGATATATTTAATTTGTTTAAATCAGTGAACATTTTACAATTTCTACAACTGTTTTATACTTTTTTTAAATCTTGTATTTCCGTTTAACATCCATATTTTACTTTCATCAAACTATTTTATTCCTTGGAACATTCCTCGCAACACTTATAAAAATTATCTCATACTGTCTGTTGTGTATGCATCACTGAACAATAGAAATATACTTTTTGATTCCGTGCTTACAGAAATGTTAAGAAACTGAAAAAATCAAATCATGAAATTTGGAGTTTGATAGATCGACCCAGCAGTTGATTTTGCACTAAATAGAATAACTCGTTCAAACGTTGGTAAAATCCACTATAAAGAATTTATTTTTAACTGAAAGGAGACACCATTCTACCAAATATATATTTGTTTGCCTTACACTGTTCATCAGAGGCCAGTTTAAATAACGAGTATTGTTCTGTTTTCGAATAACATTGAAACTCTTATGTGAAGTTCTTCAGAGTACTATCAATCAGAAAATAGTGTGATGTTAAAAGCTCCACCACTACAGGTAACTTTAGTTCAGTTTACCATGAGGTGTATATACCACTTAAAGCACTTATAATACCGATATATCAAGTTTATTGAATTTACAATTTTGTCAACATTTCTTTTTTGTAAATCACATTTCAAGAAGCTTTGTTTCCGTTTATGGCTAGAAACGTAGAATGGACTGGTGTCATCATCCTGAGGATAGAGTAAATGATTTTTGGTGACCTCTACAAAATCTGAGATCATTTCAGATTTTAGCTCGATGACGAATCCCTAAGCCTTCTACAGATAATTAGAAGTAAGCTAAAAAGCAACCAAACTTATAAACTTCGCTTCATAAATTTCTAACAATACAAAATATGATTTTTCTAAGCTCAACAAAGTAAGTAACAAACAAAATTATGCATGATTTTGAAATATAGGTAAGCTGGTCAAATCTGTAAGATAGTGTTTGATTGCTTTAGAATATTTCAGACATCGGATTTTATATCTGAATGTAATACTCTCCTACATTACATAAAGCCCCAGTTGTGTTCAAGGGTGAAAAGCCTCTGCCTCTGCCTCTGAGCACGTGATCTAGTAAGGTTAACCCATGAAAATCACTCAAACTTATTTTACTAATTGACACAAGCAAGTGTGAAAAATTTCATTGTTTTTTATTGGTGGACTTAGTACCTCTGTAAAAGAAACTAACTTAACCATTTGCATAGTTATTTGCCCGGAAAAGTAAAGCATCAGATCCAAAATAACAGAAATGAAAATCCAGGTCATTAGATGAGGCATTGCAGATAAAAAACCTCTTCAACCTTTTCCTTTAAATAAACAGTAATGACATCAAAGTCTTCTTCTTAGTACTCAGACATAAGTGGTAATCAGTACTTGTTAGTGAACTGACGGTGTATAAGTTAATAGTATTTTGGGCAACTCAGATGTATTTGATGCACTAAATGAAACACTTATAGTCGGAATACCAAAATTGAGCCAAGTGAAATAACTTCGTGAATAAATGATGAAGTAAGATAAGGCTTATCTAAGACACTGGGAATCGCTAGTAATATATATATATATATATATATATATATATATATATATATATTTATATTTATATTTATATTTATATATTTATATATATTGTGTGATTAATCCCAATAAGAAGTCATAAAACGCATCAGATTCTTTTCGGTCATGGAATTTTTACAACTGCTTCTGTGTTTTGTCACAATAAAATATTCTTTCAACAAACAATTCAGTAGGTAATGACTCACGTGGTATGAAAATGCTCCACAAAACTGGTCAATTCCCCAAGCATTGTGCCAACACATTCATACTCAAAGTTTTTAGCTTATAAATGGCAAAATAAGCTATGACTGACATCGGTGTAGATATTACATTTCAATGGAAAGGTTACGTAGAATTTTGGGGGAAAATTGTATAGAGTTAATTAAGAACACCTATTTCATATTTTTATAGAGAGTCTCGACATTGAAATTTCACGTCACCCATAATGTTTATTTCTTAGTTTTTCTTAAAAACCTAATTTCAGAAGAAATACTGGAAGTGGAACTGGAACGGTTTGTTTATTATACGTTATTATTATTACAGTTCAGCTAAGCAAAACATGTGACTTGATTGTTTTTCAGAATAAGTAGTTAGCAGGATCTGGATAAAGTTTAAAAATACTTCATGGAGGGATTTTTAACTCCAACGTTAGGTTATCACGCTTATGACGTAATTTAAACATAATTTATGGATTTAGTATTTGCCTTATAATTATCCAGACAATAATTTGTGTCACAAAGGTGTTATATAGTCACTTGATATTTGAAACATACTGATAATCTTTCGAAAACCAACTCCTAATATATTACCGGTAATGAATTGTAACAGAAAAAAATTAAATTCAATGGTTTAAAAGAAGAACTGAGTTGTAAGTTGTGAAAGAATACCATAGAAAATGTTATTTTATTATAAGGTGCGCTGCAAAAGTTCTTTTTCAACGTACTTATATCTAACCTTTCTTTTAGCCATCATTTTTAAGTTGATTATTTTATGAAGCTGCACTGAAAGTATTGCTTAAAATGACTTCAAAATCTCTATCCTAGAGGCACAAGTATAATAAAACTATGATGACTTGGAATGGAACATTTCCAGAAAACGTTTGTCAGAAAAGATAACTTACTTCACCCCAGCAAGCAGCAACATGAGAAGGTGTCCATCCATCTGCGTCTAAACTGTTAGGATCTACACCAGACTGGAGTAAAAAGAGGCCGACCTCACAATATCCACAAGCTGCAGCAACATGAATCTAAAAATATACAGAACGTTTCTTAAATTAACACTGTTTCGGTAATTTTTATGGAACTACGCATATTTTTGTTTGATCAGGAACACACGATTGATGCATTAAGTCAGATAAGTTACAGATTAAAATGTAAATTCTTTTCCTCTGAGTAGATACGGTTTGCAAATTTAAGTCTAACGTTAAGATCGAGTAATCCAGCTTCTAGATGAATAAAAAATTCGGAAGAGACACCGAAGTTGAATTGCATTGAGGAAATCATCGAACTGCACCACAGAGCAAGGTCTAACTTGGAATTCTCAGGGCACACGAAAAATAGACAGACTGAAAACCATATTGTGTCGAGAATCAGAGACAGACATCAAAACAATGTGTAGCGGTTGGTAACACCTGGAATGGAGAGACAGGGACGGAGTTGGTTGGAGGATTTTGGTCGGTGGCCTCTGCTTCACGATAGTTTAGAGGAGTAAGTTGGTACATAAACGTTAAGGTTGAATATTTATTTATAGAGGGTGCTATGAACATCTGGCAGTGGACATAAATATAAATTCAGATATCCTGTTCACTGGTACTGTTTCATATTTCTGCTTGAATGGGTGGAAAATCATAACTAATTGTCAAGCTTATTTTCTTCTAGAAAACTAGTTTATTATTTGTTAACATACGCAGTAAAAATAAAGACACATTAACATAAGGCAAGTTTACATCAATATCGACAACCAAACTAGATTTGTTTACCGGAAAAATAAATTGTTTTCTTTTTTATAAGCGTGAAAAGGTTTACGAACACTGCTTTCGAATTACTTAGTTGTTTTCAGATTTTGAGTACTTCAGATTAGTTAAGCGGAAAGATGACTATTTGAAAAGATGTTTGGCGCTTAATTCATTAAATTTTAAGCTATAGTAAATTTCTTAACAATCCATCATCAGAAAGAAACTAAAAATATTTTATAATATTGCCTAGTGAGATGAAGTAAAAATAATGATCCAAAAGGATTAGCGGTATTATAGTAACCAGACAATGGGAGACATATTTAACTACAAATAGATGAAGTTAAAAGAATCCATATGAATGATAAATTTTAAATGTGGTCTATTTATTTAAGGTCTAACCTTTTAACCAATTATTATATTACTTTTATTTAATAAGATGTTAGCGGTTTACTATTCCTAGTTTAATGAAATTGTGGAAAATAATAAGGGCTTAGAAGGTTTCGACCATAAGTTCTATCATACAGAAGAAATCCAAAAGAAGACTAAAAGTTTTTAAGAGCTATATAAAGTTTATTTCTTGTGAGTTAAAACTAGTAACCAATAGTTGGACTGTTATCAACAAAGAAACTCCGATTTATTCAAATAAATTATATAAATTAACACTAAAATTTCATCTAACATTCTAGTTATATATATTTATCAGATTCTGGTAGAGTTTTGTCATTTGAGCTGTTTGGTTTCATTGTGGAACTTTCATCAGTTTTTTAAGAGAAAGATGAACTAGTTAATTTTATTTTAATATCTTGCCTTCAGTCAAGTTTTTGACATATTGTTTAAATAGCTGTACATATTTTATGATTTCTCTGATACTGTTGGACTAATATTAATTCGAATTAAACGTGCACAAAAATTTAGGTTATAAATTTCAAACCTTCAATTTAAACCCAATATGCTTAAATTCAGAATTCATAGTCAATCTGCCTTATATACACAGAATTAACCCATTCAAATAAATGTGCAACTGTAACTTATTTTTGTACGGTAAACTTAGAAGCAAATATTTATTTTATCTAAGTGACTTAAAGAATTTCTCCAAATCTTCTTGACTTATTACTAACAGATGGGATTTGGTGCTGGGAGAAAACAGGTAGAAAGAAATCTAAGTGCAGCCAAAGCAAGATATGTCATAAAAATTCGACATAAGCAGCACACGTGAACTACTTGGTTAGGTGCCGCATAAAAGCTATAGATTATGTTTGTAGACGTTGAGTGTCATGACTTACTTATGCTTTATCTTTATGCATTTTCTTTGTTTTCACTCCATGCATCTCAGTTTTTGATTTCATTCCATTCTTTTGAATTATAATTTTTATTGTTTAACTTTTCACAAAAATAGACAGTTTTGTGATTTTATGTGATTTTCGTCTTGATTAAAATTATAATTTATGAATTGCTTGTAATCATTCGATACATTTCAGAAAAACGCGTTAAGTAAAATAAAATGAAGTTGTTGGTTTTGGTCATAGTTAACCTGTATACAAACTTGATGTATAAGTTAATTTTTGAGCATATGATACTACTAAGTGGACCATACAAGTTACAGTTTAAATTCGTCTATTCCTATGAGGCTTAAATAAATTGAGTTTATTTGCACTTCGTTTAAGATAGATAATAATCAGCAAGTAAACGAAATTTATTCAGCTTTATATACATAAATAGCCGACAATAAGTGAAATATTTTATGTTTTTTGTGTAATGAAAAGTTCGATTGCTGATAGAATAAAGCAAATAGCTTGCAACTTTGAATCTCTATTCATTTTCTTTGTGATCAATTAAACATGGGGTGGTAATGTACTATACAATGTGCTAACCGGTAATCTATACTAGCTGAATATAAAATCAACTGATACTAGCTTTGTGAAACTAAGCGAATAAAATAAAACTATCAAACAAAGGAGCAAGCTCCAGCCTGAATGTCATGAATTAATCAGTGATAATTGTATTGTTGCTTCTCCTTTGTTGAGTTAAATTAATCCATTAAACTTCAACTATAGAAATCATTTATTGTACCTCTTGTATCAATAAATTAAATATTTAGGTGTTTGTTTTTTAGTGGTTAAACAGTTTGTAACTAAAATCTATTATTTTAATATATGAAAAAAAGAACACAGAATATGAGTGACATAAACAATACTTAGTATACAATTTTTTTGATGATTATTGTTCAAAGTGAAATCTCTAAGTAAATATTTGCAGCTATATTGGAGATCATGATTCTATGACTTCTACATGGTGAAAATGAACGATTAGGCAAGAAACATTTTATATTTTATTCTGAGTTCTAAGACTTTACTAAATTGTTAGAGATCATTTGCAAACACCAAATATCTCAGGAGAACATTATGCGGTGCATATAAAAACATTTTCGATTCAATCACTATCATATAAATAAATTCAGAAAAGGCCATCTAAAAGAATCAAATTAATTTATGTACGTTGGAGATGTATTACATTAGTAAGAGATATAGGTATCGTACATTGATTGACGACCGTGCAGTGTTGCTTATGGATGTTACATTAGATAAGTTACTGTTCTTGATTACTCATACAGTTCACTGTAAAACTAAATGAAATGATATTGTTCGAACAGACATCATCAATAAGTGTATGAGTAGAACAAACTATGGTTAATAATAGGACACTTACTGGAGCAGCACCTTGTGCGTCTAGTATGTTTAAATTGTATCTTTTTAAACGCGCTGCTTTGAGATCTGAGAGCATTTTCATTTCTGGTGCAGAACGAGCTTCTTCGATATCTTCAGGTGATATACCTAGATAAATGAATCCAGAATATATGTATAAGCATAAGATATTTTAAATCACGTTAGATATTTTCAACCAATTGTGGACAAAACAAGAGCAAATGATATACTTATAAATGAACGACTGTGCAGGAATTATAACCTCTGAAATGTCAACCGAGAGCTAAAAGTTTTAATAAGTTATAAATCAATACGAAAACAAAAATTTCTTGCCACTATTATTTACAGTTGTAAAAACCAATAAAGGTTGTATGCACGTAATGACTTCGGTTAGGTAACTAATGATAGCCAGAATGAATCAGATGACCATTTCGTCTTGATATACAACGCATCAGTTGTTCATATCCACTACTCAACCAAGTGCATCAGATTAGTTCTTTAAAGATCTCCTTTTTCTGCAATGATTGTTTTCAAATAGTCCATTTTATTCAAGTGACCAATAAAACTGATAAAACAACAGTAATTACAGTCTTTCTCGAATAAAAGTTTACCTGCATACCTTTCAGAAATATTTAGATTCCCAATAAAACAATATTAATCAAAACAGACCTTTCGAACTGTTTATCTTTTGCTTCCCCTTACCAGAAACATACTCAAAAACTGATCTAAAAATGGTTGTTAACATAAGTTGTCATGAATGCCAAGGTTGGACTTGATAGTTTCAAACAAAATGAGCATTGGGTATAAAGTTAATAACAAATATTTTTTCGTATATCTCAATGTGTAGAAAATTTCACGAAACTTCAGAAATTCAACTTTCTACTCATTGGGATATAAAAAAAATACATTTATTATAATTCATCATCGTTTCATTTTTTTTCTATCTTAGAAGTACCAACATCAGTTACTGAACGTCTCAGGTGTGGCCAGCAAAAGATATTGATTCACGTAATTTGTAGCTTTGATGACTGTGTTATTGATTCAAACAAGTAACGTTCTACTTCATGTCAAATATATTCAGCAAATCCCATCAAATTATTGCCCACTAATTCTTAAGAAGATTCAAGTTGAGCATCGCCTATGTTAAAATTAAAAATATAACTGTTAGTAAATGAATCCAATCCGTCAGTTGTCTACATAAATGTTGGAAGTCATCAGTAGTATGAATAAATGTATTTATTCCACACTTATAGGAAAGGTGAAGCAAGTAAGGCGCAAAGATTCGAACCATTCAGTTCTCTCATAATAATCAGAATAGTTTATTTTAGTAAGATACATTTTATACCGTAAATAAATACACTAAGACAGGTAGACAACAATTCTTTTTAGATATCAGGCTTTAATTTAATTAATTTGTACATTCGCTCTTTATTATTTACAAGCAAACACCACAATTATCATTTAGACCTGCATATGATGAATTTAAAAGATCTGCGAAGGTAAGTATGTTTTTGTTGATACAGTTGAAGATGAAGATAAGTTCTATCTTGATAATTCCTATAGCCCTTTATTAAGTGCTAATCAGGGGATTGTGAGTCGTTTCTTTTTCACTTGTCTGCGGTACATATCTTCAGGTTTGAAAGTCAAGTGATTAGTACACATCTACCGAGTGTGAATTCTTTCATTCATATACAAGAATTTCATTCTAAGTATTTTTGGCCATGACGTACTTCGGACACTTTTAAGTTAAAATATATTCTTTCAGAATATCAGCCATAGTCACATTACCATTGATGCTGTCTAATGTTTTTATTTGTTTTATAATATCTTTCGTTTTTATTGAAATTTATAAATAGTTAATCACATGCCTAATGAGGCACTATAACACGACCTAGTTGATTTTTTTTTTGATACATAAAGGTATCTTAATTCCCACATGAATTTCATTTTTATTTTCCGATAAACACATAGAAATTTATTTACTATTTAAACCGGAAAAATGAAAATATTTCTCCTAATTTGACATTTAATAAAGTATTATCAGGCCATCTGTGTTACATTAAACGATTTCTAATTACATTCAAATAAATAAAGCTTGTCGCGTAAATATAGATTATTATTGTTATTATAACATTTGCTTTCTACTGAAAATTGACGAAATTTGGACATGTGGACTACTGGATTGCTATATTAAAAGTGAAATTGTCAACTGTATGTATGGTAGTGAATACGCACAATAGACGAATCCCATTCTGTAACGAATGATGTGTTCAGTTGTTGTTCGTTTTTAAAGTCTATTCAAATGATGTCGATCCATGAGTGTTAATATTATCACTAGCCTCATAAGGTTATAACATCTATAATGAATCATATTCTCTGACACATCAATGAATAACTAACTGTTTGAATAATTAAGCTAACACATGGAATTCTTTGCATTCACATTGTGTCAGGTATAAAATTTGTTTATTTTGACGTTAATGATTTAAGATTCAACTAACAGAACATAACGGATATTGACCATATTACATCTGTTATATTAGCTTTAATCCTGTTAAGAAACAAATAGTTACTTGACAGTCAGGATGTTCAGTAATGGAGAAGCATCGAACATGTAAAATGATATTAAACATTAATAAAAAACCAACTTGACGTGGAATGCTAAATACTTGTTATTCATAAAGCCATAGAATAAATGATAACATAACTAGTATGTCACTTAGATCTAAATCACTAAAATTTTCAGGTGTTTCTCAATATTGTAATAGAATAAAGTTAAATTGTTGTGGATGCGGAGGAATAGACCAATAATTATCATGTTAAGTCCAATGGTGTCCTTGGACTTTAAATGGACATTTCCTATTGGTCGATATCAGTTCACTTGTTGAATATTGTACAAAATGTTGTTTTCTATTTTATGGTACGATGTGGTGTGCTTGATTGGTATATAAACAAAGTATGTTTGAAATATAATGATTCATATCTCCGAGGCTGTGGCTTGTATTCTGGACTCAACTGACTGGGCTAGACAGGGAAGAGCAAACCAATCGAGACTCTAGGCCGTCCATTCGTGTTCACGTGTCACTGTAATCGATCGGTAAGTACGCTGCTCTCTAATTTTCCAGTCAAGGACACAACAATTAGCACAGGGTAAAAAAACTACCCAACTTAAAGTCATAACATAAATAATAAACAATTAGCAGTCTAATTGCTGATTCATTCATTCTAAATTAGAAACAAACTTAATAGATTTCAAAAATAACAGATTTGAGTATAGATTATCCAGATGATTACCAACTAGTAGCTATTCAGCTAATTAAAACGTTTTTAATTGTTGTTTTTATTGACAAGGACAACTTCACACAAAACTCTATTTTTAAAAATAAAACACTGGATATTTCTTTGGATATCTTCATAGAAATGAAAGAATGTAAGTTTCAAGTTGAAGGATAATGTATAGTTTTCTGCATTACAAATTAAACAATAACTGACTTTTATACAGAGGTTTCTTTTAGCAAACCTGCCCCAACGAAACAGAACGACAGAATTAATAAAGCATTAATTTACAAACGTAAACTGCATATAAGAGACATGAGGTCTTTAGTTTTTTAAGTATTTTTTTAAAATGATACTGCAGTGATGATTTTTCTCAGCCTCAATATGAGAATCATATGAGATTGTCTCGAATATCTCAAATATTTTAAATTTAGGCAGTAAGAATGTTTAAACCTAACCAAAGTTGCTCAGGACAGTCTTAAATTCCGAATCATTATGATTTGAGAGTTTTTCCACCATCGTAATCTGACTTTACTATTAGCTGGATTCAAATATTTGTAGTTCATCAAGTTACGTAAAGCCCATTTTTCCCCTTAACTGATTGTCGTAAATGTGGAAAGTCAGGGGAGTTAATCTATAAGTTTTGCATTATTAATTTCAGATGTCTTACATATTAGAACTTACACTCCCAATGTAATCTTGACCCATTTGTATGAATTTGAATTAGCTTGTAAATCACACTAATACAAGATTAAAGTGGTTGGTAGAAGAAGCTCCTATACTTTCATAAAATGTGAAAAATACGGTGTTTTAAATAACCAAACTTATAAAACCATTTGTCGTCAGTTATATCACTTTGAGTTTGCATTTGTAGACAAAGTTACTCATCATATGTCATGACTATCCATTTATTTATCTAATAAATTCAGCTATTTAAAGAGCTCTTCAGAAGTCTTTGTAACAATTTACAGAGTGGTAGAATAAAATGAAACTTTTCAGAGTTGAACCACCTGAACTATAGTGTCACTGGTAAATTTAATAGAGGGATCAATTTTTATCTATTTGGAAACCAATTTTATTTAATTATGGGGTAAGAACATACATATAATTATGATTATATAATAGTTTTGTCAGCTGGAAAACACGTGATGTTGAAACAGTTTCCAAATGCTGAAGAGTTTCCACATTTTAAGGAGATTAAAGTAGTTTAATTAAAGAAGTAATTGAATTTGAATGGCAATGAAATAAATGTCATAATGAAGAATGACAAAAAGGTATATTGAACTTCTATCAGATCTATCGAATTGCAAGAAGAGAAGTTTATACGGAGCTTTGAAACACGTTTAACAGGAAGTTTGATGCTTCAGTTCTGAAACTTATAAGAAATGGACATAAAATAACGTTTGGTTCGCAAAGTTTACTGAGTTATCTGAAAGGATATGTATCTAAAGACAATACATGTTGTTCATTGATAAGCAAATCAAACTAAACAGAGAAGAATAAAATAGACATAAATCAAGTCTTACTTTTTCATCAATCAGAATGAGTAGCACAGAAAAACTAGCTACAAGTATTGAATAAATCAAAGTTATTGAATTAGAAATTACTATACATTATATGTAACACATTCTGATGCTTATTCATGAACAAAATGTTTATAAAACTGAAAATTCATTGTAAGAAAAGGGGAATTGTAAAATGATAATCATCAATGTAAAGGAATTCACCATAATGACGTGAATTAATATTGAGAATGGAACTCTGATAAGTTCCTATGAGTACTATCCAAGTATTAAAACTATTTTAATATCATTAAATGATAAAAACCAGTTATTTCATGCGTAACAAATATT